TAATCTTTTATATATATTTTATATAATGTAAAACATTTATCTTAAGATTTATACATATATATATTAGTCACGATCATAGTTTGTTTAGGAAGTTTAATTAAAATTCAAAAACTTATTTTGTTGTTTGTAGCCGTTGGCAAAAAGACGAGAACAACGACGAAGAAGCAATCGGCCTCTTCATCATCGCCCTACGGGTCCCTTGTAAAAGAAGAAAGGGCTGTCACGTTGTTGGAAAACGAGTGAACGATGTACCAGGAAATAAGTTCGTGGCATTTCCAGGATTCCGATTATGAGCTAACAAACGGGGTGGTAGTGATTTCGTGCGATTCCAACAGATAGACCCTTTTTTTAAAATTATTCTTCGAAACAAAAAAAAAAAAGAAAAAGAAAAAGAAAAGAAAAATAGTTTTTCTACGTGTTCATGTATTTGTAACTCGGTGTTAAACTACGATTCGGAAAATATCGGACGGAAGGAACCTGGGATCCTGTCTGCAGGGACTTACGGCCCATTTCCGGCCCGCCATATTGGCGGCATGGTCCTTTGGGCCAGTTTACTATTCCTGCAGGGAGCTGGGTTCGCCGGTAAGTTATTTTTTACAATTTTACATATCTTTTGTTTTTATTTTAACGCAAGAGAATTAAAGTGGTCTAATTTGTTAGTCAAAATTAAGTAAGCACTTATGTACTTACTTAAGAAATTATATTTCTTTGACGTATATATAACAAATAATTAAATTTAAAAAATTATAACAAACACTCACAGTATTCAATGTTGACAAAATATGTAATAATTCTTTTTTTTTTGTATATATATTTGTTTGTGATTTCCGGACAATTAAATATTAATTTATGCGATCATTTAAATGTTAATTATATAATCAGATTGTATAATCAATTAGATGACAAACAATATAGATTTTCTATTATTTAATCTGAATTATTTATTTTATTCTGACCCCCTCCCACGTATCATAAATTTAATATTAATTATATTAATATTACACAGAGATATATTTATTTATATAAAATCGTTTAAAATCACATTTAAGTTAATTCCTAAAAATAAATGACAGAACATTTAGAACGTGGGTTATATTTAACGAAACATTGTGAAGTTTCTATGTGTAAACTTATGTCAAGGAAGGATGATTTCATTTACATCGTTATAGATTTACGAGCTGACCCGATAGGTTTTTTACTCAGTTATATATATATATATATGTTTTACTCGAAGAAATCAAAGCAAAAGAGAAAGAGAGAGATTGAGAGAGAGAGAGAAAGGTTTATCGTGGTCTATACATCAATCTACGTGTACAACGTTCATTTAACTTAGCAATAAGTTGACTTTACAAAACGATTTTCTGAAACCTAAGAGAAGTCTCGAAACGTTTTCGACATACTCGATAAAATACATTGCACGCTATCGAAATAGATTAGAAAATATACGATACCATTTTTTACTTTAATTTATATTATTATTCATTCTTATTATGAGATAATTTGAAACACGACATTTCCATTTTATTTCACAAATCCTACAAGTTGTGTTACGATTAATTAATTAATATATTGAGAGTTTATAAGATGGTATTATTCTTAGATTGAAAATGTAAGAAAATGATTAAACTTATATTGGATATTTTCTTATATCGATTCTTCTTTCATCTTTTTATAGTATAATTATTCTGATAATAATTAAACCGAGAAGTAATCTGAATGAAGGTCGTTAACAAAGTATTACTACTAAATCAATTCAATAATAACAAATTTTCAATTTATATTCGATGCTATTATTATTATATTACCACCCATTGGTACATAAAATTTAACTAAAGAAATATAATAAGAATGACAAATAATAAAGATTTGAATTTAAAGAAAAACTTTGATGAACAGTTTTTCAATCATCCTGTTAAATGAGACCTTTAAGTAATATATTAAATATATAATATTAATTGATTAACAAGATTAATATAATACAAGTAATAATAGAATAAGAAAACTATGAAATAGTTAACGTAACAGTTTGTTATTTTTGTTGTTGTAGTTCTTCAAAATACATTTGAAATATTTTCTTAGTTAATCTAATTACAGTATGCCAATTTTATTTTGTAATTTTTCTAACATATGAATTGGAGACGATCGATAAAAAATACTAACCAACTACTAGGCTCTAAATAGAAGGACAAATCGAGTAGAAATAGATAGACTTGCACTAACACAAAGGATACATCTATATATTGTCCTGGATTGTAGTTCGAGACGATTGATTTCTAAGGTCGTAGAATCGTTAACAACTATTGTAAACCAACCAGACGTTTCGATCGAAATACCTTATACAAAAGAGAGAGAGAGAGAGAGATGATGATGTTCATTAATCCTGATACTTGTTTACTATATATATGTAATACATTGTTCAACTGGATGTGTTTATATTTGCCCTAACACGAGTTGCATGTAGTTCATTGTTTGATCTATCTCAATTTGTCACTGATTACCTCTGAATATTATAGTCTTCTATTAGATTAATGCATTTAAAGTAACATCTATTAGTTTCATTTTAATATATAGTTATAACACTGAGATAATTAATTTAATACAACATTTGATTTCTTTCTAATGATATTGAGTTTTATC